ATGTTTAAAAAAAATTTGTCTTTATTGTGTTTATAAACTTTTTTTGTTTTTGTTTTTCCGCCGCATTTTCTTCTGCTAGGTCAGTGACCAAATCAAAGAGGACGATTTTAATTTGTTTTAATTTGTTTAATTTAAAATTTGCGTTTTTTTTTTACATTTCCTTAAAAAAAAAAAAAATTATCCAGTAATTAAAATGGAAACTTTTTTGTTTTTTTTTGTCGAGGGGGACTTTTGCAGGTACATTTTAATTAAATTCTATTTAAAAAAAAAAAAAAAAGCAAAAGTTTTTATAAAACCATTTATTAAATAGAAAAAAATTTCAATTATAATTATTATTATTTAATTAAACACGAAACCGGCAGGCAATTTATTATATTTAAAGTCTCATCTCTCCTCATATTACAAACTTGTCCGGTAAATAACAAAACTTTCTACGTAACATAACCAAATACGGTTAGAATTATTATTATTATTATTATTACTTTTTCTATTTCGAATTATTATTATTTTTCGGTGCTAAAAAAAAAAAAATTTAAACGTCGACTGTTAGGTAATAAATAATAATGATTATTAATAATGATTTTCTTCAGTATATTTAAAAAAAAAAAAAAAATGATAATGCAATGATTTATTACTACAACGAGGAGGGAAACATTCATAAATGATTTTTAATTCAAAATGGAAAGAGAGAGAAAGAGAGATAAAGAGATAGAGAGAGAGAGAGAGAGAGATAAAGAAAGAGAGAGAGAGAGAGAGAGAGAGAGAGAGAGAGAAATCGGCGAGTGCCCTGATAAATAATAAAATGTTTATAAAAATTTTATTTATTTTTTTGTTGAACGCATCATATAATAATAATAAAAAAAAAAAAACATGGAAATTATTTATTCGCCTTGAAATTTCCCTCCCCCCCATTTAAATTTAATTTACCTGAAATTTAAAAATAAAAAATTTTAAATTTCTTAGAAAAAAAAAAAAATAAGTTTTTCGTATTCCAAATGTGTATTAGAATCACGAATTCAATTTTTTTGGTCTCAAATTTAGACTTAAAGGCTTTAAATTTATTAGAAAACGACGAACTCCCCGTATACCCCGAAGCGTCGATAACTTCGACAAATATTATTATATTATTATTATTTTTCATAAACTGTCCCTTAGAAATGTAAAACACGCACATTTAAATAAATAAAATTTTGTTTGTTTTCTTAAGAATTTTTTTTTTTTTTATTTGGAAAAATTTCAACGAAAATAACCTAAAAAAAAAAAACCTCATTTCACAAATATCAACGAACGTTTTTAAGGTTTCGAATGACATCGCATTTTACCAATAATGTCATCATCATCATTATCATCATCGCAAACAATAAAAATCCCAATTTTTTTTTTTAATTAACTCTTAATTAATTTTTAAAGTTCAAATAAAAAAAAAACAAATTGCGTCGTTTTTTTTTTCTTTTTGATTGACGTATTTAAAATTATTATTTTCGTATAACAAAAAAAAGGATGAATGAAATTTTAAATGAAAGTATTATTATTATCATTATTATTATTATTACTAATAAGCAAAAAGGCAGAAAAATTTTATTAAACACAAATTAAGCAGTGAAAAATATTCCATAGGTTTTATTAAAATTTTTAACAATTTGTCAACTTGTGATCTCTGACACCAAACAAACAAGCAAACAAACAAACAAACAAAATTTGTAAAACATTTAAAAATAAATTTAAATTTTTAATTTAGGTTCGTTTTGGTTGTCGTTGTTTTCTTTTGACGCACGTAAATTGATTCTACCGGGAAATTTAGGGATGGGCTTGTTACTAAAAACTACGACAAACAATTAATAACTAAAAAAGTAAACACAGATTTTTTCTTTTTTTTTGGTAAAAAATATTATTATTATTATTAATAATAATAATAATCACGTGGTAAATGCGTAATATAAATAACATTAGGTAAGACTGACGAAAGTCCACAAACCTTTTTTTAACAAAAAAAAAAAAAAAATTTTATTTACAAAAATTTAAATTGTATAATTTATTATGTGGAAGGTTAGCAAATCATTTTTCGCAAAAGAAAGAAAGAGAGAGAGAGAGAGAGAGAAAGAAAAAAGGTAATTAATAAAAGGACAGAGAGAGAGAAAGAAAAAAGATGATTAATAAAAGGACAGAGAGAGAGAAAGAGGTATCATACAGTAATTTTAACCCCCCACGTTTCTAACATTACTCTAAGTAAGGTAAAAAAAAAAAAAAACATACAAGTGGGGAAGAAGGAAGGATTATACAATTAATCATCAAATCTAAATGTTAACATTATCATTATTATTATTATTAATATCGTTATACGAGGAAAAAAGTATACAACAACAACCACAACAACACACGACTCTTGTCATTATGACCAAACCTCATAACACATACACTCAAATTAAAATAGTAAAATTACGAAAGTTCCATGAATTATTATTATTATTATGTAACAGTTGTTGTTTTACTTTGGGTTTTTTCATAAATAAATAAATAGTCTTCCGTTTCGAAAACACGCGAGTACCCGGATTATTATGTGACAAGTAGTAGTGAATAGTAGTAGTAGTAATCCCCCCACTCTCTCTATTATATTTTCCTTACGGTGTTTTTCAAAAAAAAAAAAAAAAAAAACTCTCATACTGTTTACTTAAGGCATAAAAGAGCTTGTGGTTTAAAAACCGAGGAAAGTTACGAGTTAAACTTCGTAGTAGATACAAACAACCAAAACAAAATTTAAAA